GCCATTGATCGCATCGCAACGTCGCAAGCGTGTCGCAAGCGTTGCAGTCCAATCAGAGTCGAGCTAGCTTGACGTTGATTGGACCGCAACGCTTTCGACGCTGCGATGCGACTAATGTAGAACTAGCTTTATCCAGCTAGGAATCCAGCAAGAAAACAAGCATCGTGTGCTGTAGGCTTTAGTCCGGATCTACAATAGGTGTTTTAAGCCTTAAGTCGTAATGCGGGGTCTACAATAGAAGTCGTAGCGGTCGTAGGGTTTTAAGTTATAGAAAATTGACCAATCACAGTTGATTATTCTTCTCATATTCGACTGTGATTGGTCAATTTTCTACGACTTAAGACCCTACGACTGCTACGACTTCCATTGTACACCCCGCATAAGAATTTGACCAATTACAATCGAATTCGAAGAGAATATTCGACTATGATTGGTCGATTTCTTATGGCTTAAGGCTTATGTGGGGTTTACAATAGAAGTCGTAGCGGTCGTAAGGTCGTAAGTCGTAGAAAATTGACCAATCACAGTTGATTATTCTTCTCATATTCGACTGTGATTGGTCAATTTTCTACGATTTAAGACCCTACGACTGCTACGACTTCTATTGTAGACCCCGCATTAAGCCCAGTGTCCACGATGCTAGAAATCCGTCCGAGATCTCGGATGAAGAAAGAATTGACCAACCGCATTGATCATGTGACTAAATTGTTTAAATGTGATTGGTTAATTCTTTCTCTCCGAGATCTCGGACCAATTTCTAGCATCGTGGACACAAGGCTTTAGAATACCTACTCTATTGTAGATCCGGGGTTACTAAGCGCTCAGTGAGTGGTTGTAGGTTGTACTGAATGCACCTAATAGAGGTTTGTTCGCGTCGCATGCTCCAATATGCTCTTACCATAGCTCCTACTCACTCCAACGCGCTTGATAGAGTGAGTAGGAACTATGATAGGAGCATGTTGGAACATGTTGGAGCATGCGACGCGAACAAATCATAAGCCGGAATCCATAGTCCGGTTCTATCCCGGATCTACAGTAGGGTTTTAAGCTTTAAGCCGCAAGAAATTGACCAATTACAGTTGAATCCGAGGGGAATAATCGACTGTGATTCGTCCATTTCTTAAGACTTAAAACCCTATTGTAGATCCAGGGTTAATCTCAAGCAATGGATGGAATCCATAAACGTTGCTCAAGATTGTTGAAATTAAGGCCGGTATTCATAGTCAGTTCTTATATTCAAGATCATCTCAAGTTCAGCCTTGAGGTGTTACGAACCAATAAGAGAGCCACATTAGCGTATTAAGACATTACTTAAGACGATCTTGAAATAAGAATCGACTATGAATACCGGCCTAAGACCGAACTATGGATTCCGGCCAATGTCTCAAGATGCTAATACGGTTCTCTGATTGGTTCAGCTTAAGACCATTTCGAATCTTGAGCAACGTCTATGGATTCCTCCCTTAGTAATGCCAATTCCTGCATTCCTGGGTTCCTGTACACTAGCAGGAGTAGCAAGATCAACTAACAAGCAACCACGTGTGACGCGAATGGACTTCATGGATTGTATTCTGTGAATTTTTCTTTTAGTTTTTAGCAAACTCAGTTCGGACTATCACTGCAACAATTGTATACAACTGTATACAACAAATACGATACATATTATTATTACTATATTCAAGCACCGTGTTATTTCATGTGTCATCGTTGTTATTACGACACAGTCAACAACGCGGTCAACTCAGAAGGGCCACGCAGGGCCACGTATCATTAACAAAGAAATTAGCATCGATCTGATTGCTGTCACATTTGTATTTCTACATTATTCTACAAGATGAACATGCGTAGGAACGCACCTAACATTTTAATATGTGGTATGTAATAGTGTTGTTATTCAGTATAAATTTCGAATATCCTTAATAATTGTTGTCAATGTTTTTTAGGCACGCCTGGCGTAGGCAAGAGCGCGACGGCGCATATGTTGATGGAAAAAGCTAAACTAAACTGGCTCGACATCAGTAAAGTAGCTATTGAGACTGGATGTGTGAGCGAATATGATGAAGAGTTACAATGCAGCGTATTGGACGAGGAAGCGGTAATTATTCTTGTAGCGATAGTTACATTTAATTAATATGTTCTGTGTCACATGACTCTCTGGTAACCCACAGTAGACTTTCAAGTTGTTTTCTATTTAGGCTATCAAAGAAATTTAATCATAAAATTTCTGATATCATATGTGGATACATAATTAAATGTATGTGATATTGATACATCGACACTGGCTAGCAGTTTTTAATTGACTTTTAATTGATCTAAGACTTGGTATTATCAACATAAGATTAATTTCAATCTTGGTTTTTTAATTTATTGGGTGCATTCAGTACTAATGACCATTCACTGTGCGCTCAGTGAGCTCTTGTACCTGTTTGGTCTATATTTTTAGCTCTAATGGAATATGCCAATCAGATGCAAGAGCTCACTGAGCGCTCTACGCTTCTAGATGCAGCTAATGGGTGCATTCAGTACCACGATCGCTCTTGTATCTGTTTGGTCTATATTTTTAGTTCTAACGGAATATACCAATAAGATGCGCTCAGTGAGCGGCTGTAGTACTGAATGCACCCACTGTATGTACCCATTCTTTACCTTTTTCTAATTCTAAGAATATTTTAATTCTGAATCTAAGAAATTCTTGGAATTAGGAAAAAGTAAACAAAGTTAAATCAAGATTTAAGTTAAACTTACATTGGGGGGTAGAATTAGGGGTGAATTGAGTCCAAGAAACATACACAATGCAATTGTCTGTTGCTAATATAATACGAACATTAGACTTTGTTCTTTATAATCATAATTTTTGTAATTTTTTAAATCATTAAATATATGTTATTTAATAAATATAATGAACAAATAAAAACATGGATTATTGATAATCCATACAATGTTAAGTTATTTAAAATTGGCTAACAAGTTTGGTAGAATTAAAATTATGAAATATTTTCTGTACATTATATCGTCTAGGTCACACGTTAAACATACAAATTTTTGTTTGTAATATCTCTTTCTAGTTAGTAGATCTTGTGGAGAATTTTATGAGAGAAGGAGGACAAATCGTGGACTATCACAGTGCCGACTTATTCCCTGTAAGTTGGTTTGATATTGTATTTGTGCTCAGAACAAACAATACTATTTTATACGACCGTCTACAGGCAAGAGGTTATAGCAAGAAGAAATTAGAGAACAATATAGAAGCTGAAATTTTTGAAATTGTTATCCAAGAAGCACGAAATTTGTTTGAGCCAGAAATAGTGCATGAACTAACGAACGATACTCCAGATGAGCTGACACGTAATGTAGATAGAATTTGTCAATGGGTGGAACAATGGAAAATAGATAATATGTAAAAGTGACAAAATATGTAATAAACAGAGCATTTCTTATGTAGACATTTTCTCATGTAAAGCTCTCACGACTACGTTTTTCATATATACTTATTTAGATTGTAATTTTATTATAAATATATAAGCTTATCGACGCCATAAAATGTGATTGTACAAGTTCTAAAATCTATTAAGTAAACATCTGTACATATAACAAACACATAAGCACACATATATGTATGTATATACATACATACACGCATACATGTAACATAAACACATAAGTCTAGTATACATATAATACAATAGAAGAATATGTTTTCACATTTTATACAGCTAATAAAGAAATTAAAATTTTTCATGTAAAAAAAGAGTATCTGTAAACACAATATATTTATAAATCAGTTAAGTAAATGATATGTTTATTCTACTATACCTAGATCATGCTTTAGTTTCTTTAATCTATTATCTATAGTATCATAATATTTCATTTTTATTAAAATCTTTGTTGCTGTTTCAATATCTTCTTTACTGAACGCCTCTGCCACTTGCCTGAAATAAAAAGAATAGAAACAACATTAAGTACTAAATACGATTTTAATACAGATTTAAAGCTACGAAAAATGAAAATTACTTCGACATTTTATTGAGCAGTTCCTTAGATTCTTTGGCTAGCTTCAAGACTTTATTTTTGTTCTCTATTGCGTTTTCTATCTCTTCATTACGTTCCATAATCTCAATGAGAAATTCTGAATTCAAGCTGGTAGTGCCTTCTGGTATTGATATACCTTTTAATTCTAATATATACAATCCTCTTTTTAATGGATGCATCAGCGTGTTATAAGCCTTATTTATTAAAGATGACAACTTCTCTGAGATTTGCCTTTCTTTCTATTGACAGTTAAAACAAATTTCACTTACAGATAAGAAAAGAAAGTTGTAATTATCATAAATTAAGAAACTTCTAAGAGAAGATCATCTAAGTTTTATTCAATGAATACTTACTTCAGATTTATTACCAAACTTATCGGGATGCAGCATTTTTTGAAGTTCTCTATACTTTGTATGAATTTCCTCATTCACCACATTGTAATCCCTTTTGATTCCCATGATATCAAAATAATTCAAGTTCTGTGGCAATTCCTGCAATACTTTACACTTTGAGCAGAATAACTCGGACTTGTACACATAGTCGCAATTCCAACACTTGGATGGACTGTCACTGCAGAATCTCAAGGATCTCAAAGGAATGGTAGAATGAATCGTAGTCCTCGATGGTGCATGATGCGAATACAGTTTACATTTCTGCTTAACTGGGCTCACCGCCACCGCGGATTTTCTAATGATTCTTACCAAAAACATTTTAGGATGATTTTATAATCTAAAAAAGATAAATAATTTTCATTAAAAAAAGGATAACGCAATCATAAAAATGTTGTATCTTATGCTATTACTTGGAAAAACATACTGCTGTCTTATCATTTTAAGCAAAAAAATTAATCCTATGCATAATATAATTCAGAAACAAAAACTATAACCACATTATGTACGAGCTTAGAAGTTAAATTGATCAAATCCACTTTTAATAGATAATTTTAATTTTAGTGCTTACTTTCCAACAGTTGATGAATTTAACATACGAGAAACTTATACAGAGATTAGTTTATGTATGTACAACTTTAAATTATACTTTTTATATTATATATGATGAAGTTATTTCGTAAAAAGAAAAAGTAAGAAAATTTTTGCAAAATTTTTCGTTTGTTTTTACATTGTTTATTTCTTACAATAAAAACTATTAATCTTATCATTTAATGTCTTATCATAGACTTGTATTATGAGTCCTATTCTGTAATATTTCACGATATTCTATCGAAAGATTGTCGTTAGTGAACAACTTTTCCATAAATTATTATGTTAATTATGTGCATTAACAACAAAAAAGTAACAAAATTAATAAATAATAAAGGTCGTAACTTAACATATATCTTTCTATTATTGTCGAATTTAGGAACAAGTTTATTGTTATTTTGTTACAATAATAAAAATTCTCTTCTAACGATAATTATTCAATAATGACATCATTACGGATTACAGAATACGATTCTAACTTAAATAATAACTAATAATAACTATTCTATCCTAACCTGTCTACTATATACATACACCCACACACATACATACACACGCACACATACATAAATAAATACTTTCATTACGTATCCTATCACACGATCACTCCGTTCTCTGTGTTCCCCTTTCTACTTTTTTATATAAATATAAATATATTGCCCGTTCGCAAATACGTGCCGGATCGATCAAACTCGATCATTAGAATCACTCCTGCTGCTCGAATGCTGCTGCCATGAAGGATTATTAAATAAAAAATCAGTGGTGACAGCTGGATTCCCAACAATCCCAATCCTTTACAACTCCCACTTGCCACGCTTTCCGAAGGAAGAAACGTCAAAAATTCCCACTGGATTCGCGTTCCACGAGACGGTAATTAACGATTAGAACGAGATAGTCTTAAATCCTGCGGTGAAAATCGTGAAAAAGACCAAGGTAATTCGGAGGGAGAAAAAGAAAGTGCGAGATGTACGTAACGCTTATGACTAAAATTTGTTTTATCTTCCAGGTGCGGAATACGCGGAGGAGAACGATGGTCAGCCCGGACGTTTCCCTTGTTGGTTGACGTGCGCCATGCAGGATAGAATTATCGCGCGTTACATGCACGAGTTGTTATCTGAGGCGGTGCTCGAATTTCGCGATTTCCGCCTCGATAAAGCGCTATCGGACCGTAACGGCGCGCGATGACAGTGGCCGTTCTGCATTTTTTGGTTAGCTGGAGCACGCACGCGAGCAGATAGTCCTTGGTTCACCACAATCCTCGGACACGTGTGACAGTGTCCCGATTCGACGTTCGATATACGGGATTATGAATTCGACCGAGAATCGCGGTCACAAGGACGACACGATTAACGGAATTTGACGAGGCCACATCATCAGCGAGTTTCAGAACTTTCCCAGGTCCAGGAAAAAAGAAACGAAATGGGGGACCATCGGCAACAGTTGGACTACTTGATCAAGTGGTTGGCTACCTTCGACCTCCAAGCGCCACACAATTCCGTGGAAGAGATAAGCGACGGAGTTGCCTTAGCTGAAGCCTTAGCCAAAATCGCACCAGAATGGTTTACGGCGGTGTGGAAGGCGAAGATCAAGACAGACGTGGGTACCAACTGGCGTCTTAGAGTGAGCAACATGAAGAAGATCGTGGAGGCTGTGATGGAGTACTATGTGGAATGTTTGAACCAACAATTATCTGGCTACGTTAAGCCGGATGCGACCAAGATAGGCGAGCACTGCGACAGCGACGAGCTGCGCCGCCTGCTGCAGCTGATCCTCGGCTGCGCCGTCAATTGTAATCAAAAGCAGCTACTCATCACCAGGATAATGGGTATGGAAGAGACGGTACAGCAGGTGTTAATGCAAAGTATCCAGGAGGTGAACTTCGAGTCTCTAGTGCCAGATGTGCCAGACAGTACTCAACAGAGACTCTATGCCGATTTCCAGGCGGCAGTGGACATGAGAGATCAGCTGGCACAGAAATGTCACGAACTCGATCAACAACTCTCTCTGTTACAAGAAGAGAAGATCGCATTGATCGCGGAGAATAAGAAACTCCAGGAGCGGCTGGACGAGTTTGAGAACCCGGAAGAATCCTTTAAGTATTCCGAGCGAAAGCAAGTGGAAGCATTGAAGGATGAACTATTCAAGATGGAGACTTCCAGGGATGATTATAGATTGAAGGTAGAGCTGTTGGAAAAAGAAAAGTTGGAGTTGCAGTCGAGGAATGAGAATTTACAAAAGGCGGCTGACGAAAGAAACCACCTGAAGGACGAGGTAGATGCCTTGAGAGAAAACACAGACAAAGTAGAAAGGTATGAAATCATGATAGAGTCATACAAAAAGAAGATAGAAGACGCGAGCGACCTTAAGAGACAGTTAAAGATATCAGAGGATAATAATAAAGAGAATATACAATTCAAATTTAAGTATGAGGAAGAAATTAAGCTCACAACAAAGTTACGTAATCATCTGGAGTTATGCAAGCAACAGCGCACAGAAGCCCATCACAAGCTGGATGAAAAGAGCAACAAGTGCGATCGGCTGGAGTTTGATTGCAAGAAAATGGAAGCAAAGCTGGGCGCTGTAGAAAGGGAGAGAGATCGGCTGATTGTCGAAAGGGACACCCTAAAAGAGATGAACGAGGAGTTGAAGTGCATGCAATTGCAAGCCACCGAAAACGTGGCAAAACCCAGCACTGACAACACCAGTGTTTCCGGGTCGGAAATGATGCCATTTGAGGTAAAAGAAAAGCTGTTTTGCCTACAAATGGAGAACAAGATGATGAAGATGAAGTTGAATGGCAATGAGGACAAGCTGCCGAACATGCAAGCGCTACTTGAGGATTCTGAGGAACGTTTTAACACGAAGCAAGAACAACTTCGCAAGGCAAATCAGAGGATAATGGAGTTAGAAACCCAATTGGAGGAAACGGTGGGTACTCAAGTTAGCGGTGACAGTAAGAGTGACAATGTAAGTCCGAATCAGAAGCTGTTGCAACTGCAGGACGAACTACGGAAAGTGCAAGCTGACAAAGAACGACTGACGCTGCAGCTCGAGGAACGTGAAAGTGCTCTGCAGACTCAGAAGCAGGAAGCCTTCGCTCTTCAGGAGAAACTCACGCGGAAAAAGTATGAGAACGCAGCGCTGGAGGAACGCCACAAGAAGTACATTGATAAGGCCAAGAGTGTCATAAAAAGCCTCGATCCGAAGCAGAATAATTCTTCGCCGAACGAAGTCATCATGTTGCGCAACCAACTGATGGAGCAACGTAAGATGATCGAGGACATGGAACGTTCCATGAAGGAGTCCAGGTTGCTGCGAGAGATGGAGGAGAAGCTGATGGTGACCGCCTTTCATAGATTGGGCGGGAATTGCCACAGAGAGGTGATGGATCAGCGCCTGGCGGCGCTTAGTGCGGGACAGGGTCAATCTTTTCTAGCCAGACAAAGGCAACCCGTGTCGAGACGTTATCCGCCTTATAACTCGAAATAAGGAAACGTGCAAAAGAAAGTTAGAAAGTTGATTTGACATTTATAAGTATTATTATCATATGAAGTGGTAAATGGTCGTTTGAGGTGATGTTCTCAACAGTGCGATAAATATGATATCACATATTTGAATTCATGAACTTGATCACAGATTTATTCATCTGCCCATTTATTCAGCGTCATATTGACTCGTACCATAATATTAAGATGCCACATTTATCTCCTTGTTACGATTGTCTCAATTGATTGTATTTCTTTCGATGTAGATACAATTGAATGATTTCGAGCAAAAGTGAAATATCTCCACTTTTTAAGTAAGTAAAAAGATTGCTTTTTTACGAAGTTTTGTGGAGTTAATAATATAGAAACTGTGCTTACAAACTGTTAACAAATGAACTTTTTTCTAACCATTTTTACATTATGTATCCAGCCAATTTTTTGTCTTCCTGTGAATATAATTTTAACATTCGAATTTTCAAATTTTCATTCAATTACATACAAAGATTTTCTAGCTATTAGAGATGTGCCAACATGTTCCTATATCTTTAATGAGTATGTAAAAAAATAATCGCACAAATATCTCCAACAGTTAGAAAAGCAAACTAAATTTTTGTACTATGATTGTATCTATATCGCAGAGGTTTACCATCATTATCTTATCTCAATCAGGTTTTCAATAAAAGATATATTGAATTGTAAATAAGATTACATATAGATATTGGAATGTTTTACTTCGCGTTAGGCTAAATATTACACAAAATGTTGAATATTCTGTAATATTTTAGAAATTTTATCCCACGTAGAGATATTTTAAATCATACTTAATCACGAAGAACACTTATCGTTTGAATATTGTATATATTTACAATGTTGACACTTCTTTCAACAGAGTGACTGACACTAAATGTACATTCATAAATATTGTTATTTGCTTTGTGCAACAATACATGATAAACCAAATTATTGTAAATAATGTATAGAGCGTCCTATACACTTTTCTTGGATTTGAAAAATATAATATAAATTATATATAAATATTGCAACGCAAAGAATTCGTATATTTATATCATTGTAGTCACGCGCGTTAATATTATTATGATTAACATTATTTATTTCACATATGTATAATTTATGTTATATACATTTGTTTTACAATTTTATTTTACAAATCTCCAATGCACATGGCAATGAAGAACAATTGGAAAACTTAAGGCATGGAATGTACATACAGAGATAAATACATAAATGCGCTATATTAAC